CTGTTCCTACAGACGATAGTAATTTGGAGCTCACCTAGATGACGATTTTACACTCCATTTTAAGTAGATGCTAATAGAATTTTGAATAGAGGTTGTGTAGTAGGTATCCCACCATTCTTAAGAAAATTATCGGAAAATTACACCACCCGCGGGCAATCAGAATGATTGTAGGTATTATGTTGATATACATTCAACGTTAAAGTTAACTGTAAAATGAAACTGATAGTGAAGCTTTCAAGATATACGTTAATATAAAAGAATTTATTATACTGGGAAAAACGAATTCTTATTTTTATGACATTCATAAAGAACAGTCCCGTAATGACAGTACATTTTGAAATGAAACTGTACAACTCAAAATAGAGAGGAGTGAGCAAAAAGACAGTATTTTTTCTGATACGAGCTTTCCCTATGCTTTGGAACGTTACAAATATTGATAGTTCTATTACATAAAGTTCATCATTAAACAATATCCTTCAGAAAGGTAACTGCCCCGTTTATGCATCAATTTCGTCGCCCATAATTTCAGCTTGCTAGCTGGGCCCGTTCAAAAAATAAGTATGTGGGTATTTTTGAAGAGCGCTATAAGATCAGGCAAAAAGCAACTTACAAAACGCGAGGCTTTAGCAAGAGAAGCAGCAAATCCTTTGAATCGAAATTTGAGTTAGAACTCAAACCTGAATAGTTCGCACCTTCACCTCATGAAATGATATTTTTAATACTGGAATGTCACATTCTATGGAAGTTTGTTATCAGTTTCATGTCCAAAAACCGCAAATCATATCATCCCAACTTTTCATTATAACGCCGAAAAATGTATGCTTCTGCAACTTCTGTGTAACATTCAGCTATTTATGAGCCGACCATATTTATAAATGTCCATCTAAGCACGAGTTTCTGAACTTGAAATTCACAAATTATCTTTGAAGTCCGTAGTCCCAACAAAAATATGACGTGCACCTGCTTCCATATGTTGTTGCACCTCCGGAAGTGTCTATTTCTTCCATTGGTGACAGAAATGGCTCACATCTGTTTGATATTTTGCTGCAACATGGTGCACAATTTGTTGGTAATGGTTGCCAGAACTAGGATATTCTGGAAGTCAAGAAATGTTACTCTTATATACAATTTATTCATAGACCCGTCATTATATTTAGCAACGATAAACATTGAATCCTCATTTTCCAATGTTCACGAACGACTTCATAGACTGTCAGATTGATGTCGAAAAAATGGTGTCAAGTAGGTTGACTGTACTTCACACGCAATTCTGGGAAATGCAGTTTTCATGTATAGTATCTAAGTCAACTTTTGTATGCTCTGATATTGCTACTGTTTGCCGGATATGAAAATTATCGTGTTCTGTCATGAGAGGAAGATGAACAAGTAAAAAAAGCATTGTTGATTTGGAGAAAATTGAAATAATGAGCTGTTTTAAACAATCGGGGCCAACTTTAACGTATGCCGTGGTATTATTTGCTTGATGGAAAGGTTCTAAAAATAGATGAGATTCTTCATTCCACAAAATATCTTCATATTTGCTCAAGACTGGTGATGGTCTATTCGTTATTCCACACTACAGCTCTAATGTTATTTGGCACTTTAACTGATAATAAGTTATATTGCCCTGGTAGTCGCAATTATAACATCGCCCCTTTTCAGCTGTCCAGGTAAAAAATTCATCGTGCGAATGTTCACCAGAATGCAAGCAGCGGGTACTGGACTTATACAAAATATTTTTCACTCCAAGTCCGATAAGCAAATATACGACGTAACAGGTATATATGTGTGAAATATGCATAATTAAAAGTTTAAAGAAACGCCTCCAAAAAAACTGCGATACACCCTCCGCCACCCATCTACAACGTCCACCTGCCAATGTTTTCCCCTTAAAAATATTCGGGTGATCACAATACTCTAAAACGTTAACAACGAAGTTTGAGCGAAAACCATTGATGCAAACTAACTTGAGCTAGAAAATTTGGTGAACTTAGTAACCACTTTCCTACCTATCTTATGATCGGGTACCAGATATTTGATATTACACAACAATTCCGAGTTAAATTTTCCATTATGCCGTCGCACCTTGCAAACAAACGCCTTCTTTATTCACAAAACAATTATTAAAGATAAATATTAAACGCCAACTGGAAGGCTTTATGAACTTAGATTGCCCATTCAGTTTGGAAACGCGTTCCATCGATGCTTTAACGGCCAGCGGTGTTTTCGTCCATTACAGTACCAGTTCTGCTAAAACAAAAAACTGTTGGAACGACATTTTGAGCGAGATGTTTTCCCGACAGTGCCGTGCGAAGCTATGTGGCCACATGGTTTCACTTCTGATACCTGTTTCATGTCGATCATTATCATTAATAGGACTACGGATCAAACTGTCGACTAACGAACTGTGTAACTCCTCAGAAACATAATCGAAAAAGCTTAAGGTCGCAGAAAGCCCAAAGGGCTGTTTCCACACTGACTTCAAAACAGCTTTGGGAATCTCTTGACAAATATTCCTATGTTATCAAAATAGATAATCTACAACACCAAATGCAGAAGTTACAAGAAGATCTAGCAACAGACTACTTAGCTCTTCAGCATCAAACATGGGTATACCAAGATGGAAGAAGCAGGAGAACACATAGCACGCCACTGCGAATTCGCGTGCCTTTGTATAGGATAGATCCCGCCGTATTTAAAGGCAGGCCGCGTCACCAGTGGTGTATGAAGTATTATACTACTCCCTCCCGTTTTGGTACCAGGCTATAGTTGAAGTGCATGATAATCTAACACAGTGCAATGGCATTGTCAAGTACTGAGCATCCATAGTAGCACTAGTTCGTGATGTTGTATAATGCCCAGGTAGCACCGAACGGATTTATCAAGTATTTCAAGGATACGTTAAAACTGGAATAAAGCTGCAATTAAGACCAAACGGTTTTTGAATAAACCTCAAGGTTGTGATAAACTGGCCTTCAGCATAAAAGGGCCCATACTGAAAGCGGACAATAAAACTAAAAATAAAAACCTGCATAAAACTTTATTATGTCGAGCAACTGTTTTTAAAACTGCTGCGGAGGTACTTTTAAAACCTATTCAAGCACATTTCATCAAACCAAGTTTAAAAGACAAAAATGCTTACTAAATGTGTACTTTCAAAGATAAATAATTTACCTTATTGTTAATGTTAACATACAAACAGATAGTAGGCCAACAAAAATATATTTATATAGACGTATCTGTAACTATAAAATAATGAAAAATAGTTGTCGGACCATAAGGTAAGAAAATATTCGCGCGCTCGATTTTATATGGATAAATTTTAATAAAAAAATTCTCAAAAGCTCAGGCGCCTGAAATTTTCTGAAGTTCTAGGATTTAACAAAAAAAATGAGAAATTTGAAAGAAAATTTTTCTCTATAATTTTGAATTTTAATATAAATCGTAATTACGCCTTTAACTTAATAATTTATCATGTTTATGTAAACCCCAATATTGTTGTAAGCTTACAAAATGCGGCATCCATTTTTGAAGAAGAAAGAAGGGGCGATGAGTTTAATTTTATGATTTATAACAATAAGAATGGCTACTCTTTATACCCTAACCAAGTTCATTGGGCCAAGAGGGTTCTGTTTTAATATCGCCTATTAATTGCATTTAAGAAAGCAGTTTTAAAGAAAGCTAAATAAATAGGTCTAAGATGTAAATCACCAACAGATGTTGGAAGCTTTGAAATCTATCTCTCAAATCGAAATCAAGTAGTAAAGATTGGTGACACACTAAGTAATGAAAAGACGATTAACTGAGGTTTAGATTATTCTCATTTCGTGTTCATGAGGTCAAGTGTATTTGGGAAAATCTAAAAATTAAAGTAGAGCGGGATCCAGGAATCATTTTTAATGCCTTTCTCTACGAGGGATGTCTTTTAAGTTTTACATATAGAAACATAATAGGCCGAGCGGATCGAACGTCAGTACCGAATCTTAGCCTCACTCTTTAGTAAACTTAAATTCAAAGTTTCACAACAATACGTGCAGTGTGAGGGACAAAGATAGCGAAGTTTAGCTTGAGCTACTCTTACACTTAACTACCTTTGTCTGTACTTTAAGCACGATGTTGTGTGCAATTCCAAAAAAAAAAAAAGAGAAAAAAAAATATATAAGAAAAATTAAGGAGTACAGAAAGGTTAAATAACTAATCAACTAAACTAAAGAACACTACAACTATATATACACTATGTACACGTATGCCTAAACGGCTCAGAAAATCAGTTATATAAATATCAGGGAAGAGTGAGCATAAATTGCTTGATTTGCCTTCGAAAACGAGCAAAAGACATTTCCCTGTACTTTCTGGGCAAAGCATTGTAAAATACGGCAGCATTATACGAGAAACAACGCTTGAAGAGTGTCATAGAGTATGGAGGTATCCTGATCATAATACGGTCCCTGGTAATCCTGTCATGAATTTCTTGATTAAATATGATCTTTTCTCTCAGGTATGCAGGTCTTGACGCAGTTATCAACTTGTGCAAAAACACTAAGTATTTGCACCGCACATGTTTATCAATTCTTAGCCATTTCATTTGGCTGTATTTGTCACTAACATGGTCAAATCTCCTCAATCCATGAATAAAGCGAATGCAATTGTTTTGAATTATTTGAAGCCTGCTTTTCATCCGTTCATCAAGACATGGGTAATATAAAATATCACAATAACTGAGAATTGGCAACACAAGAGACTCACAAAGTTTTTTCCTCAGTTTAAAGTTCAGAAGGTGGCGATTGGCATATAACGCTCTCATTCGACCATACGTTTTTTTAGCTAAGGACATAACATGCTCCCTAAATCTCAATTTGCTATCTACTTCAACACCTAAAATTGTAGCTGAATTAGCAATCTGCAGCAGCGAGCCATCAAGGTTAACTTTAAATGTATTCTCCACGTCACTTCTCCTTGCGTCGGAACAAAATAGTAATATTTGAGTGTTATCTGGATTAATGTTTAGATTATGGTCACTTGAATATTTTATATATCGCGAGATTGAGGCGTCCTTGAAGATCTCAAAGACCTCAATTCAAAAAATTTTACATGAAGAATTAGGAGTAAGAAAATTAGTTTCTCGTTGGATACCCCACCTGTTGACTGAAGAGCAGAAAGCAGCCAGGGTTCATTGGTGTCAAAAAACGCTTGACCGTTTCAATTCCAGAAACTCAAAAAATGTGTACAGCATTGTTAGTGGTGATGAATCGTGGATTTACTGTTATGAACCAGAAAATAAACGACACTCGGCTGTTTGGGTGTTCCAAGGTGAAGAAAAGCCAACAAAAGTTATCCGTTCTCGAAGTGTTTCGAAAAAGAGGGTCGCGACATTTGTGTCAAAAGCGGGTCATATTGCATCAATTCCTTTTAATGAGCAAAGAACTGAGCTTCAAAAAAACAACCCCGAAAGAAGAATCATCCTCCACGAAGACAATGCAAGCTCGCACACAGCACAAAAAACAAGGCAGTATTTAACGGAAGAAAACGTGGAATTATTGGACCATCCTCCATATAGTCCCGATCTAAGTCCTAACGATTTCTTTACTTTCCCGAAAATTAAAAACAGACTGCGTGGTCAAAGGTTCCAGTCACCAGAAGAAGCAGTTGACGCATTCAAAAATGCCGTTTTGGATCTGCCAGCAAACGAGTGGAATAAGTGCTTCGAAAATTGGTTCGAGCGCATGCAGATGTGTATTAATCTTCTTGGAGAATACTTCGAAAAACAATAAAGTCATTTATAACTACCTACCGTGTTGTTTTATTTCCATATGCAACACTTAAAAGACATCGCTCGTCCTCAGTATGGACAGATTTTAATAAATAAAAGGATACCTTTAACATCTGTAAAAAAATATATTACACACTTAGGTGGTCATCATTGATCGCCACTTGAAATGGGATGCTCATATAACTAACGTTACAAATGTCCTGCTATACCGTATACCTCTTTAAATACTCAAAAAACCCATACGCCTCTAGATATACTACAAATAAGAATGTTGAAAGTAATATCAAGCAAAAAAGTTGCTTATCGTTCTGATCCATTATTTAAGGAGACTGGGATGTTTGACCTAAAGCAACTGTTTTACATCAAGTTATTCAAAACATGTATAAAAATAAAAACCATTTCAATAAAGTTAGTCATCTGGTATGACTCTTAAAAATATAAAATTTGCAGAGAAATGTAAGCTTAAGATGCCACACCTACATATCATTAAGATTTATAGTTGCTTGCCTCACATGCACCGTACGTATCTTGATAATATAAACTCATCTACTATGATAAAAAGTTTATTTACATATTTTCCTAATTGGGAGAAAAGATAAAGCTAGTGGGAATTGTTTAATAAAATAATCGTGAAACATGAGTGCCCTCCATACTTCTAATGTCCTTATCATAATTTGAGCTATGTTGATATGACGTACTAACATCCCGTTGCAAGCAAAATTTATCATCAAAATTATTTTAAAAAAAATCTGCATGTGCAAAACCATTTTGGTTCCTCCATGATACATCAAATAAATTGTTTAATTTTTTTTTATTATTGTAATGAAGTAATTTAAATCCAGATAATTCATACATTTCTGTCAGTAATTTGGGAAATAGACGTGTAGCATCTTTTTATTTATCACAATAAAGCCGTTCTAAGTCTCAAATAAACTTGACATGGTTTATGGTGCTGCTTGGGTGCCCCTAGAGAACCGCTAGCGTACATACGCCAATGTACATACAGTATCTCTTTCCAATAGCAGTGGCTGTTTGAGCAGGCAGCGATGGTAACAGCGGCAATAGCGACGTGGCATGGTGACAGTTGTTGCGAAATTGGTTCACTTTAATCTGCTGCAATAACATTAGTCTCGTCACAGCGGAGCACAAAGGGAGGCTGTTCGCCTGCAAAGGACCAACTTGCGCGTGACAATTTGCATTTCCAATGAAAAACAGTGAATCCCGGAGGACTCCGGCACCACCGGACCGTGTCCAGCCCGAAATGGATTTTAAAACTTTACAGGCGATGTCGCCGTCGAACGTGATGTTTTTATTGCCGCAGGATATTATTGCAGGTGTTTCGATACACACGCTCTTTGCATACGAAGAGTGACGCATACAAAAAAATCTTGTTATCCGAACAACGATGAGAGAGTTTGCAAAAATGACGTTAACAATTATAACCTATTCTATGCCCTAAACAAAGCTTCAGTGGCTTATTGGGCACCAGAATTACACCTCAAAACACGAAAAGTCATAAAACTCGATATCAGTATGCTTGCTACGTGCAAAGTCTCTACGTAACGCTGTTTTCAGTTCATAAAGTTAGTCCCTTTAAGGGACATGTATAACAAAGGAATTAAATGGTCTGTGTCAGTCAAACAAGCTCAAATACAATCAGTCTATAGTCCTCAGGAATGTAACAATATTTTGATCTAGTCTACCGTCCAATCGACAATACCAACCACCCAGCAACGTGGCAACGCAGCACGTAGTTGCATACACGAATCACCATTAGTTAGCCATCAGCATGCGAAGTACACAGACGTACGCTCGTTGAGCTGCCCGGCATACAGGTACGTATATCGGAAACATCTTTCATTCAAGTTAAGGCAAGTGTACAGGGAAATCTATTAAATATGTCTAAAAGGTGGGTAGAATTACTGGGGTTAGAAACGTATAAATTGACACATATACTCATTTTCGTTTTTGGGATAATAGTAGCTTTATGTGAAAAATTTATCAAAATCCTACCGTTACTTCCCAAGTTATAGACGGGATTAATAGACAGATATACCCGCAGAGAGTGTGCAGTGGCGTAGAGGGTATATTAGCATTACCTCATTTTAGGTGGACCACACGGGCTCAGCGCCACCTATGGAGGAATGACGCAACTGACGTTTTGCTGATATTTGCCTAAGCTACTGCCACTCCCATTGCGCTAGCTTGATTTGGAGGATTCAGGCTGGTATATAGAGTATCCTTTAATGTGACAGGGGAAATATGACCGAGTATAAAGATCACATTTAGCTGTTTCTCGGCGCAAAGTTTGTGTCTACAGATTCAGTGCTATTTAATAATAATAAAGAACTTTATTGAAGCACATCTTAGAGACGAAGTTTAGTCACAGGACTACTTTTTCACTTAGGTGCACTGTCTGAAAATGTAACAAAAAAAAAACAATGTAAGTGCAGGCAAAATTACAAGATAAAATCATCATCATTATTGATTTCGATGTGCGAGTAGGCTGCCTATCAGCCGGAAAGGGTTCGATACGCTCAGCAATGCAGGTGCCACTTTAAAGATAGATAAAACACATGCAAGTCACTGATAGCTAGAATGCAGTATGAATTCTGCAAAATTCGAAATCCAACGTAATAAATCGTAATTTCTTATTATAAGAAAGAAACAAATAAAACGTATCCTGTAGAATTGATCTTGATAGAACTACTTCATTAATTTGTAGTTTGAAACATGCTGCCATGGTGGCCAAAATATCAGTAAAAAGTAATTTATAATACAAATGTGGTTTCATTTGGTGAGTTCTGTTGATATAAGGAATTGCAATCTGCCAGTTGCAGTATACAAATGTGTACAACTAGTAATATAGCTTTTCATCGTCTAACCATATACGGCTAACCCTGGACAGCTGTTTCGTGCTATTTGGCAACTCCTCAGCGTGGTGTAAGCTTCGTCTCTGTGACAACGAACAAATGCTGAGCTATTCTACTCTATTCAGAGTTTATCGAAATAAGACAGGACAAAGTGCCATCTATCAGTTCGATTCAGATATAGCTAAATCAAGGGCTTATAGAAAAATCATAACATATTTTAGTGAGATTTTCTGGAAACCTGTAAGACCTCATGCGTCTTCATGGATTTGTGTTCTACAATCAGTCGACTAGTGATTTCTACCCTTGCGTTCTGTACGTGATTTTGTCAGAAACTAGTCCTTCCCCTTAGGCGTTAGCATATTTTGATTACGGGATCCCATGGCGTGGAAGGGGATAGTTCCCGACAGAGTTCAAGGGTTGAAAATTGCTCATTGAATCTTGAAATTAGTTCTTTGAATATTTCCAGCGCGATGTCAGATTGATTACAATTTTGCGAGCGATTTGTATTGTTGCTTTGTTATTTCTTTCAGCACTTTAAAGATTATCGACCTTTTTTGAGTGCTCGGGTATAAAAATTATTAATCACTATGACAGAAAACACTTCGTTTTATTGAACTTGTAGAGACGAGAGTAGCTGGTCTAAGTATCTGGATGTCATGCTCACTCAATATAGAAAGAGTGGCTGCTGAATAGACGATTCCAGCCAATCACCCTACCATTACTCAATTGTCACCGTTGGATATAACAGTCGGTAGTCGACAATTAGCACTTGCAGCACGCCTAAATAGCTCACTTCTTTTCATCGTCGCCACACAGCCAACCCTTTCATGCAACCAACAGCTCACAATGCGTGTGGACCCTAACACCTGCGCGGTTCATTCCTTGCGAACATGCCGGATAAAGGCTTGGTACACTCAGAGATGTGATTACTACCCATAAGTGAGAAGAATGAATACAATTATCCCGCTAAGGTGTTTCAAAACTTTAAATACACGCAGAATTCCTTCAACCTGCGCCTTCAACATCGTTATGTCACATGTCATTGTCGTCAAAATCCATCCAGAGGTTTGTCCAGTTCAAATGACGGCTCGGTTGGAAGAACCGGCTAAGTTCTTTTTGATTTAAATCGACTTATCCACAAATCCGAAATTCTATATCATCCAATGGAAGAGGCAAAGTTATCTGATAGAACAGGTAGTGCAGATTCGTAATGTGACATATCCACATCCAAGCAGTTTTTCCGCCCTCTCGAGAAATTTACTGTAACAGAGCTGCCTTGAGTTTTCTCTCTTGTCCTCTTTCATTGTTATAGATTTTGTTGTTTGCATATGGTACCTAACCACTGCAAAAACTGCTAGAATCGCATCGACAAAATACTCACAAGTTCTTTATCGACGAGTTTTGTTCATTCTTTAGTTTAGGCTTTTAAAATCTATAAACACAACTCTTACCGTAATGTCTACAAATTGAAGGTAAAGTTGAGCTCTCAATATATTCTGTGCTTACACAGATGGAAACACAGGTCTTTATATTATGTAGTATTCTGCTTTTGGGATATAAATGCAAATATTCAAAAGCTCGGCATTGCCAGGTATTCACACAGACAAGCCTGCGCATAGAGCAAGTTCAAGACAAAAGTTGGGGTTTGCAATGTAGGTAAAAAGATAGAAGAGTAGAATGAGTAAATATTTATCCTCCCTCCGGTTATACTTGAGTGCAACGAACTATGTTACAGACGATTCGTCAGGTCTTAGGCGTACAAAAGTACAAACGTCACAACGCAAAAGCTGGGGCCAACATGATATATCTTCCAAAGCTTCTACAATGACAGTTGTTTTGATGTAACATCTGCAACTTATCCTGTTGAAGTCTTGCTGAATAATCTCCATGTATCACTGCCTAAAATCATGAGGATAGAAAACTTGCACCATACAACTACACAGTATCTAAGAAACTCCAAAATGCAATCCATCTTGGGCAAAGCCTGGTTCAGTGCCTGGGCTGAATAGGAGACTAAAGCTTTTGCAGTGAGTCTTGTTTTACAGTGACTGAACCGAATGCTGATGCATATGAATGCCTAGCCTAAATAGTCACCGTACGAATGCTTTTGTACGACCTGTATATCGTTTAAGGTTGCATGAAGAAGTGTTGCTTTGTCATAAAAATGTAGTACAAGGTCTAAGAACAGGTACAGTTGAGCTTTAACTGACAGATCCAATTCATTATGAAAATACGCTGGTCTAGATCAATGAACGCAGATTATAGAGGCAACACAATAAAAAAGCACAACACTTACATTCTTATGATAGTATAATCCAAAATGCACAAGAGTCACAAAGAACTGATCCTTCAACACAAAACCGTGCACAAAACACAAGAGAAGAATAATCCTGTGAGGAATTTTTCGTGTACCTAGTAACCGGGCTGGAGCATCAGCATCGCAAGCACACAAAAACCGTAAGAAGACCGAGACGAGAAGAAGAGAAACACGTTTTCTCACAAGACGGCGCGGTCGGCCAGCTTTCAGCCGCTCCTACGCTACGGATGGCTTATACAGAGACGCTCCACGCTACGACGGACGCTACACGGGCGCTACGGACGACGTTCTCTTCAACAGGACGAGGATTCGACTGAAGCGGTGCCGTGGTTCGCCGCGCAACGCTACCACGCTTGGCCTCGACGGCATTCACCGTTCGGCGCGATGCCTTCTGGCTGCATGGTGGTAGACATGCGACATCGAGCTTTAGTGGATTCTTGCTTTTTCGGTACTTCTCAGCGTTTTCTCTTCCAAAGATAATCTATAAATATCAACAAAACTACTGCAGATATTTGCACCGTTTATGAAGAGTCACAGAAAATCTACAAGAGTTACCTTCGCACACCCATCTCTCTCACAGATATGCAATCGGTCTCTATGCGCGGATGTTTGACTGTATAAACTCACAGACATACCTTTTTTTGTTAGTTTTGTCTCACCGCCTTTTGAACATTTTCTCGTCAGCTGTCGAGCCTTCCACATTTATGTCTGTCACTGTCAGTGTGACAACTTGCTGGTCATGGGCATGCGTTTTAATAATAATAATAAAGTAATAATAATAATAAAGTTTATTGCAAAAGAAAAAGTATAGCAGTAGTAGATGAAAGACAATATTATACAATAAACGAATGGACCCAAAAAAGTTTCGCAGAAACTTGTGCTTGGGCATGAGCTCATGTATAAATAACTTGAGACTAAAAAAAAAACATAAAAAATATATGTATATAAAATTCATTAGACAAGTCCTGGTAAAATTTTTAAAAAGACACAATCGGGACGGTGACGCAAAATCGGGACGTAGACGCAATCGGGATAGAGACAACATTGAAACAAAGGGCAATATTAGGTGAATAGACAAGAACAAAAATTGGTAAAAATAAGTCATAAAATGCAATAATTCAGGGGGTAAGAATTCAAATCAGTTTGATTTATACATTTTTTTTTTTTCATTTTGAACTTTCAAATATCTAGAGAGATTTCCGCTTTCAGTAGTAGTAGATATTTTTGATATCAATCGCTTGATGAATCTTGAGTCTGTGTTGGTCTAAAATCCACAGTCGTAGATGCCTTTTCATAACCTCTGTATTTTTAATATCTTTTATCTGAGGGGGGATTAAGTTATATATTTTTGGTCCTAGGAAAGTGAAACTCCTCTGACCTATGGTCTTTTTAGGCTTTGGTATGCGTACTGAATGATCTTTGGATCTGGTGTGATGGTCATGTGGGAGGAAATTTAATAAATGCTTATGTTTTGTAATATATGTGAACACACTCTCAAAATAGAGTTGCCTACAATCACATATCTTGGATACCTTATATATCATATCGGTTGGATAGGTGTTAGTTTTGCGGAACATGATTTTAAGAATCCATTTCTGAGTTATTTCTAGCTTCCTGTAGTATTTATTCATCACCGGTCCCCATGCCAAAATTCCATAAGTTAACAACGGTTGTACTAACGTTTTGTATATGGTGCATAAGTCTTTATCAGAAAGAATTTCCCTAAAAAATTTAAATTTTGGTATAAGACATCTTCTTTCAATTCACCTTTTTTTGATCTTCTATAGAAACGATAGCAATATCAGAAGATAACTAAAATTTAGACAGATAGTATTAAAGAAGTAAGAAAACGACGGTCTTTTATTATCCAAGTCATGTGTATGTGCAAGAGCGAGTAGTAGCTGCGTTAAGGACCGGCTTGCGCAGTGTGCAATTTCCCTTAGGGAATTCTACAATTCGTTTATCTGTCATGTGACGTTGAAACGTAAACACAAAAAACCGTGATAAGATCAATACATGATATCACAATACTTTGAGTGACTAGCTTCCAAGATCACAATTGAAGCTTCGTAAAGCAGAAGATAACGGTAGGCATATGATATCGAGCTTTAGAAGATTCTTGTTTTTTGCGGAAACTCTAGCAATTTTATCTTGAAAAACAATGGAGGAATAGCAGAAAATCTACTACACGATCTCACAATACTTGGAATGACTGGTTTGTAAGGCCAAATTTGAAGCTTGGTACACTGGACAATGATGGGATACATATTTATGATATCGAGCTTTAGTGGATTTTTTTTCTCTTGAAAAACAATAGAGGAACAGCAGAAAATCTACCAAACAGTCACAAAATGGTTGGATTGATTGGTGGAAGCGGAAGATGCCAGTAGATAACATATTAAGCATTAAAAGATTCTTGCTTTTCAGCAGCTCTGGGCTTTTCTCTTGAAAGACAATGCAGTAATAGTAGCAGAAGTACTACATGATCGCACAACTAGAGTTATATTTGAGGCTTGAAAAAGTCGAACATGTTGGTAGACATATGACATTGAGATTTAGTAGATCCTTATTTTTTGAGTAGCTCTAGCCGTTTCCTCTTGAAAAACAATGGAGGAATAGCAGCAAATCTACTACACGATTCGCATAATAGCTGGTTGCCAATTTCAAACGTGAATTTTGGTAAAGCGGAAGATAGACATATTATCAAGCTTTAGTAGATTTTATTTTTTTGGTAGCTATGGGCCTTTTCTCTTGAAAACAATGTAGGAATAGTAACCAAAAATGTACTAGGTACACGATTTGCACAATATTTAGAGAGACTGGTTTCCAAGGTTAAAATTGAAGTTTGGTGTTACATGGGATGATGGTGGTAGTTATATTACGTCATCGAGTCCTAAGGGACCCTTAAATCTCAACATCGATTATGGGGTCCCAGAGCGGATCAAAACCCATTGGTGCTTCCAAAATCACGACGTTCTACACAAATAATGAATATATGACAGCAGATGGATAGACTCGGTCTGACAATTTAACTTACAAAGAATGTGGTCCCACCAGGATGACGCAAAGTGCACAAATCTAAAGAAGCGGTGAGTGCTTTACGAAAAATGTTTTTATTAGGCGACTTCATCTGGCCCCCAAGATTTGGATTTAGTGATCCTAGAATTCTTTCTACGAGCATTCCTGTAAAATAAGGTTTGTTCGAACAAACTAACATTGTACAGCAGCCAGTGAGCAATATTCGGTAATATATACTAAGTGACATATAAATCCGAACACCCAGTTTAAATGGTTTTATTTTAATAAAAGTTGGTGAATGTATTTATCTTACTGTAAATAACAAGTGAAAAAATTTTCTGCCTTATCAGTTGGACATTCCGGTTTTTATACTGCTTTTTTTTAATTCACTAACGCTATAAAAATGAATATTTCAGCCGCAGTAAAGAATCAACGTTGGCGGATTTTGGTTCTTGACATCCTTTACGATCGGTTACGATGCCTAGAGTACGGAGACCTGTACCATTTCGTCAACTTAGTGAGTTTGATAGGGGCCGTATAGTGGGACTTCGGGAAGCTGGACTTTCTTTTCGGGCAACTGCAGTTAGAGTGCAGCGCACTGTGGTTAGGTGTTGTCAGGCATGGCTTCGAGAAGGCCGTACGCAAAGAGCAAGGGGCACTGGACGCCGCCGTAGAACAACAGACCGTGAAGATCGCCGCCTAAGATTATTGGCCTTAAGGGACCGTTTCTCCACTACCAGGTCCATTGCAAATGAATGGTTTGCAGAACACGGAAGACCTATTGGCATGCGAATTGTTTACCGACGAATGAGAAGTTTTGGCTTGTTTTCATACCGGCCACACTGGGCCCTCCCTTTAACTCGAGAACTCCGACGTAATCGCCTTGAGTGGTGCAGACAACGGTCACTCTGGGATCAGGAATGGAACAGTATTGTCTTTAGTGACGAGTCTCGATTTTGTTTAGGCATGCACGATGGTCGTGCCAGGGTTATAAGGCGACGTGGTGAAAGGACGAATCCACAGTTTTTTGTTGAAAGACATGTTCATCACACTGTTGGAGTTATGGTTTGGGGTGCTATAGCTTATGGTTCCAGGTCACCTTTAATCTTCATCAGAGGTAACATGAACGCGCAGCGTTATATCCACGAAGTTCTAGAACCCCATCTTTTACCCTATCTTGACAACCTGGGAGATCCAACTTTCCAACAAGATAATGCCCGACCACATGTTGCAAGAGGCACAATAGACTTCTTTCAACATAATAATGTCATATTGTTACCATGGCCACCAAGATCTCCCGACTTATCCCCAATTGAGCACGTGTGGAATATGATGGGTAGGAGATTGCTCAATTTGCAACGTCCTCCTCAGACTCTAGAAGCACTTCGAGAGGAGTTGGTGGTTGCCTGGAATGAGATACCACAGGAGGACATTGACCACCTGATCAGAAGCATGCCTAGGCGCGTTGGAGAATGCGTAGCACGTCAGGGTGCATCCACACATTATTAAAGCTCAAAGGGCTTTAAAGCAGTGCAATCATTTTGAAATTTTTATCATTTACTTATTATGCTTCATTAAGTACTTATACAAAATTTTATTAAAATAAAACCATTTAAACTGGGTGTTCGGATTTATATGTCACTTAGTATATTTAAAGTACTTCTCCAGGAGTCTACCAAAATATGACGGAAGACGTAAATCAAGGGGGCACAGGTTTGTGCGGCTTACAGAGATACGACATTTACATTTTTCATACGCAACCTCCAAATTTCATAAAAGATTAAAATTGAGATGGATCAATTTCATTTCATTTTTAGGATATTGGAGAAACAAACCAGTAATGTTTAGTTATACAGGTTGACCGATGTGTAACTGACTGGTTTGTATCTTGAATATTTGTGAAACGAAATAAACTACGTTCATTTTTTTCATCTTCATCTTTTATTGAAACTTATAAATTATGTATGAAACATAATATCAGGCAAATGTTCGCCTCTAGAAGCCATGTAAACCTGAGCAATCTTGATTATATTTTCCATCACTTTTTGGTAGGTTTCGGGAGGAATATTTCCAATCGCTTCCATAATATTATTCTTCAGTTGCTCTAAACACTATTTTTCAAAAATCTTTATGAAAAAGTCAGGAGCCGTTAAATCCGGTGACCTTGGTAGCCAGTTGACATCACCAAATCGAGAAATTAAACGTCCCGGAAATATTGTTCGCAATATATTCATTATTTCCCTAGCTGTGTGACAAATTGCTCTGTCCTGCTGGAACCACAACTTTTGCAAGTTAAATTGTTGGATTTGAGGAGCCAGAAAGTTTTGCACCATATCATGGTAGCGCTCGCCAGTGACAGTAAGGGAATTACCTGCAGCGTCTTCAACTAAGCTCCAATGACACCTCCATACGAAACACCGCACCAAACTGTGACTCGACGAGGATGTAAGTGATGTCGGCGCCTTTCATGGTCACTAGGCTGTAGTTCTTGGGTTAACTGAGTTTTGTATGGTCGCAGATACAAGCCTTTTTTTTTAAATAGTGCATAATGACGTGTAACGAATACCTAGTTCTTGAACGATGTCTGGTAGACGTCTCAGGGCGCTCCACTACACTTTCACGAACTCTCTAGATATTTTCCGGAGTACGAACAGTTCGAACACAGCCCAACCTTGACAAGTCTTTA